AGGTCATTGACAGCAAAACAGGCTTCAGATGTGCTAACGTCAAAGTCAGCACTGGGCTTTTTCCTGCACTAATCAGAACATCTGCAATCCTGTTGTTACTCCACAAAACAGAAAACATATTTGGAACAGATCCAGCAAAATAGCAAAATGTCCCAGAGGTCAGAATCACCAAGGTCACAGGCAAGTCCTAAACTGGCTCAGAACGTTCTGAGATATGAGAGTCCTCAGAACATAACCAGCGATAACGTGAATATTTACATTATGTTATTTGAATATGCACAGCTGATGATGCTTAACAGTGTGGTGAGGGTCAGCAGGTGCTTACCTGACTTTCTGGAAAATGGTGGGTGAAAGTTAGCTTTTGGTTCTGGTGGTGTTCTGGACAGATTTGGAAAGGGGAAGTGAAGGTGTAAACGTGTATAGGGTCAGAAGTTTTGGAAAGAACGCTTTGGTTTACAGAAAAGAGCTGGGTGTTTGATGAAGTTAAAGGTGAGAAACTTAAAGTTATGAAACAAAACTGGAAATTTTGGCAGAGTTTCAGAATGTTATGTTGCTAGGAGTTTTGTTTCTCTCTTAGCAATTTTTTTCTGTTTTTCTTGAACTTCTTGAACGTCTTTTGCAGTGGGGAAAGCTTTCTATTTATAGGCAAAGTTCTTGTGGATACCTTGAACATTTAAGGCGCCAACAGAATTTGAAGTTGTTCTTTGACAGAAATTCCTGGGAAGTTGTGATAACAGCTATTTTTCAGCCTAGGTAGCAGCAGCAGGCGTGGATTGGGGGAAGTGACCTCTGAAATGGGCGGTGGCGTGAAGACCCATGCCAGAGTCTGTACAAAAGCATTCTTCAAGCCACACGTGAACGCTCAGGAGTGGTTGGAAGCATTAATGGGCATTAAATGGTGACAAGACCTGTCAATACCAACATTCTGGTTGTTGAATCAGCAGCGTAAACCATGCTCTGGCCTTGGCTACCTGTTGTTTTAGCAAACTCTGGAGATTCTCCTGGTTTTCTGGTACGTTCCTTGGATCTACTTCTGGACAATCCGGGCTTAGAGATTCTATATCAATGTGACACCTATCCCTCTGACCTTTCATCTTCTGACTTCAACCTGTTCTGAAGGTGCCTCTATACTTTCATATTTCTTTTGCATTCCTTTAGCAAGTTCTGACTGAGCTTGTGTAACTGCTGAAGGGGTATGTTCTGTTTGAGGCTTACACTCTGAACCACGTTTACAACTTCTGATTGAACTGATGTAGCTGTTGAAGAGACAACTTCTGACCACGCTGAGCCAAGCTTGCAACTTCTGACCGTCTTCATCTGGAATGGGTCCAGAAGTTCTGAAGCGCTGATTTTTCTAAAAACACTTATTTTAAAGAAAACATTCTAAGCACTTAGAATTTGATTTTCCTCAAGATGAAAGCGTTGTTTCTGGAGTTTGTGAGATCATCTTGCTCTTGTAAGTGACTTGCTTGGGCAAAAGGATAACTCAAGACTTGGACTTGTTTCAGGGGACTTTGAAAAATCTAAGATGGTTTCCTGAAGAAAGGGAGGGCGAATTTTGGGGTACAACAACTATGATCTTTATGATGATTTTTAACCGAGGGTCTTTGCTAATGGTATCCCTACGTTCGAGGGACATAACTGTTTTTCGAAGGCAACAAGTGGAGTCACCCTAGAGGTGTACGTGTGCATAGTGTGTTCAGTTCAGTTATATTATCTTGATTAGTTAGGAGTTATCTACTGATTGATTTTAAATCTTGCCATACAAGCCTATTTACTAATAGTTATATATACAGGCATACCGAAGTGCAGAAAGTAAAAATGCGGGTAATAGAATGTACTCTATTACAATGCTTCGGGGATGAGGAGCACAAACCATAAAAATGGGGGAAAAGGTAAAGAAATCCTAGTTTAAAGCTATTACAGACCATTAGCAATTACAATATTTATAAAAATAATAATGTGAAAATGAATAAGCGCGCGGAGATTGAAAAAGGGAGAAATGTTAAAACCTAAAAAAATTCTAAGTATTTAGGAAAATATTTTTGGTTTTATTTTTTAGAAAAGTATTTTCAGTGCAAAACCCTAATTCTAAATGATTTACAAATTAGTTAATAAAAATAGAATCAAAATATGATTAAATTAAAAAAAACAATTTTTATTTGATAAAAATTCAATTAGTTAATCAAAAACCTAAATCTAATTTTTTAATGATTTTTTATGATTTTTTCTGATTTAATTTATTATTTAAAAAAACATAATTATCTAAGTAAAATAATTTTATGAAAAACAAAACAAAATGGGTCTGAAATGCAAGTAAATGGAGGATGTGAATAAGAAATCCCTAGGCCCTTTTCAAGGAGCCCAGGTTGCTGCGCTGGATCTGATGAGGATGATCCACGAAGCCTATGGTGTGTGTGCTAATTTGGAACACTGGATCAAGATCTTTTGAGATATGATGGTGTGGAGTTGAGGTACATCATATGCGCGTTGGATTTCATGGCATGGGATCTGCAATAGAGAAATGTTGAAAAATAATATGCCAGGGGCAGGGATCAAATCCATGCCCTGACACACCAACACCTTAACACACACACACACACTTACCTCTAGGGCGGTTATTACATCCGGTAAGATTAATCTAACAAAAACATTATAACACAAAATAAAAGCTAATATTGGACGAACAAAAAATGCGCACGTGTGAGTGGACCCCTGTTGTTCGAACGAGCCAATGGTTTCCTTTCATCCTGCCACGCCAGCACTCAGGTGAGTCCAACCACCCCTCACGGTGGTCAACTCCTTCTCCGGCAGCTCCAAATCCCAAACCTGCGAGCGAACAAACACCAAAGCCCCAAATTAACCCTAACCCCTCTAAATCATATGTTGTGAGTCCAATGGTGTTATCAGTTTTGTATGTAATGGCCTAGAAGTATAGATATGAAGGTACAAAAATATTTTGCCCTAACCATGACAAAACTCAAATCTCACGTTAGAGCTCCAATTTTTTGGTCCAGACCTGTTCTAAACATTCATATATGGAGATCCATGTGGTTAGAAACAATCAACAATGCACGGATTTGAAAAAAATGAATGATGAAAAATTGCAAATGCAGATTGTGGATAACACGATTCAGGCCTGGGAAATTGTTGAAATTTACCTGTTCTAAACCTTTACTTGTAGTTTTACTTGCAATTTTATCAAGTTTTTTACCTTCATCCTGCCTTTACTGCATTTTTACCAAGTTCTATCTTAATCCTGCCTTCACTCTTAGTATTCTGTCGAACCTTTTCATTCAAAACCTATCCAAACTTACGAAACACTTAACATATGTCCTATGATCAAACTGATTGATCCTGCAAGTAATCAAAATAACTTTTTTTTGAAATATCAGCGGTTATTTACCAATTTTCACAGTAAACACTCTCACAGTTTAATTCAACATCCTTGAATAGGCACTTGTCCCGTGCGTATGCGAGCAACTTAGGTGGCTGCAAAAATGAAGGTTTTGTTGAATCCAAATTGGTTCCAGGTAATAAGACACCTCTTATATATTTTATGGTCTTATTAGGATCCATTGGGGTTAACTATTAATATATTTGCTTTAGATATAATAGGGTATTGCAGATGCAGTGAGACAATATTTGTGGCTTTTTGAGGAGCACGCTGTTTTGGACTTTTTTATGACTAAGTTATGCCTTATGACTAAAAACCTTGTCTTCTGCTTGATTGGGGATGAAACATTTGTGATGGAAGCTCTCATGGCTATGATGAGTCTCACTGCCTTTGTTTGTATAATCTGCTAAGGAAAAATACGGTAAGAAAGATTTTAATTTTGATTATATTTCTGATTATAAAATTAATTTTTTACATTTCTGATGCCAAAGGATCTACCATTTTCATAGAAGGATAAGAACCAATTTAGCAAACAACCATTTTTTCTAAAAAAAATCATTGATACAACCGGAGCTGGTGATACAAAAAGGAATGTCTCAGATTTGTCGGTACATATGGCAGAATGTATTTTATTGTTTTTTATCCTCATAATTTTCTTAGTCATTTATTTGATTGGTTATGATTTACTGATATAATTGAACTTTTTGCATCAAACGTGTATACAAATTAAACCCGTGTTTCTTTTCATGATAATAGACATTAGGTTATGTCCAAGTGTTCATGATGGATCATAAACCCGTGTATATAATTGAACTTTTCACATCAAAAGTGTATACATATTATATATGTTAGGTAAACTCGCACCAACTATGTTGATCGCCATGTCAGTACTAGGGAACTGATTAGACTACAAGATACTTTGGACGACATGGCTTAAAAAACATCACATGGTGCGTTGGATGGCTTACAATATAAATTACCTAAATTAAGTCCAATTGAATCTGGCTGCTGTTGACCGCCTTCTGGGTAGCTGTAGGTTCTCCTTTCTTTTTGAAGAATTTCCTTAATTATAATAACTGGTCAATGTCAATCGATACAGATTGCAGATTTTGGATCAACCAAGTTTACTGATGTTGCAAGTTCAACCGATAACACTATTCATGTGGCATAACCATTTTGTTACATCCCGCCAAAGTATGGCAATTTCTGCTTCTTTTATTTTTATCTGGTTGATGGTAGAATTAGAAGTTTTAAAACCGTAAATTTTATCCACTGATTTTAATTTTACCTTTCACATTTGTGCAGAAACGCTTATGAACTTATTTCTTGCAAAATAGATGTATGTGCTTTTTGAGTTGTTCTTTTATCAACTAATTTATGCTAAAGAAGTTGTGATCAAAATGGATAAACTTAGTAGTGAGTTCAACTAATTTATGCATTTGGACCTATTTCTTCCAAAATAATTCTATAAAGGATTGCAAAATATTTTTCCACTGGCAGATGGCACAACTTGCAAAGGATTGCACAAATCGAGATCCAAAAGGACGTCCAAGAATGAGAGTTGTTATGGTTTCACTTATGAAACTAAATTCTACTATTGACGATGGAAGAACATGGTGATGCATTGTTTAAGAGAGGTGAGTTCAAAGTTGCGACGAGAGAACGCAGACAGCCTGACTCGGTGTTTGCGGATTTGGTTGAATCAATATCAGTTGAGGTAGAATCAATTTCTGCTCACAACTCTAATGATATGTAGTTTATTTCACTTGCTATCTCATATGCATGTTTTCCTCTACAAGTCAATAAAAACACTGGTCATAGTTTACTATCATATTACTATTCTCAGTTTACTATCAAAAAAGTTATTAATTAGTATCATCCTCTGATGGCCGGGTATGTTTTTTAATCACATATCTATTTATTTAGTTGTTAGTTTATGGAAAAGACAATATCATTAAAATAACATAAAAAGTTTCTGCTATTTAATTCATTATCCTTATTCATCTCTACTTGCATAATTCGAGGCACTTTCTGAAAACATACCAAAGGAGTTCAAGGTTATATTTAGGATTTTACTCTCTATTGAATTGCATTTGTAGCTATTTCTAAATGCTGATATTAAAAATCCTTTGCATTTACTTTAAACAGTAAGAGATTGAGAAGGCAAAGCAACATTTAGATGTGATGGTAATGATCAAATATTTATATTGATATCTAAACCAAAATAATATGTTGCTTTGCTGTTCAAACCAACTATTCTCTGATATACATTGTCAAAGGTAGCATTGTTCAAAACTGTGGTGACAGTTCCTACATTGTCAAAACCCTTTTTTGATGCAAGGTAAGCAGTATTCTGTATGTGGATCAAAATGCCAACAACTACCTTTGTCTTGGCCAATTCCAAAAATTCAGGAAGGGTCATAAATCTACCACTTATGAGATTCCATGACTTTCATTTTCCAAACTTCACCATATAATTTCATATCCACTCTCCACTTGAGTGAGTGCTTTAAATTGTTGTTTCCACACTTATAAAAAAAAAAAAACTAAAAACGCAAAAAAAATAAAAAGGTAAACAAATTCTGAATTATATATATTTTTTACATTGAAAAAGAGTGAGGTGAGGGGACCAAATGCCAATGAGACAAAGTCACTGCTTTTAAGAATTATTTTATTACCTTTAAATTTATAATCATTAGTATTAGGATTGTGGAATTCGTTTTAAAACCTTTTATGTTATGCAAAATCATGAATTTATTATCTCTTCGTCTCTTAATATTTGTTGCAATTGAATATTTTACACCGATTAAAAAATAATAATAAATGAAAGGGGGAATATACGTGCGAATGACGAGTAATTATACCAAAATTCGTGTGTACGCACAGGTTATTATATTTTTGTACAATTAAAAAAAATAAAAATAAAAATATTTAAAATAATGTTTGAATTCAAACACAAGAAAAATAAATAATTTTTTAATTATTTATGTTACTAATATTTTTATTTTGAAGTTATTTTTAATTTAAGATACAATAACTTTTAAGATAATATATGGAAAATTGAAATATACATTAATGCTGTAAAACAATTTTGTTTTTATTTTAAATATATGTCTTTCTTTTAAAAATAATAAATTTTTTTGCTAAAATAATTTTATTTTTTATTATATTTTGAAAATAAATGCGCATAGCGTAACACACCAGTATTCGTGCAAATTCACAGCTATCTCACTAATTAAATTTTAACGGAAACATGAATTTACTGGTCAAAATATTAAATATTAAGGGGAACATGAAGTTATTGATCAAAATATATTTAATATTAAATATTAACGGAAACATGAAGTAATTGATCAAAATATTAAATATTAACGGAAACATTAAGTTATTGATCAAAATATTAAATATTAACGGGAACATGAAGTTATTGATCAAAATATTGAATATTAACGAGAACCTGAAATTATTAATCAAACTATTGCATATTAACGAGAACATGAAGTTAATGATTAAAATATTGAATATTAACGGGAACATGAAGTTACTGATAAAAATATTTAATATTAACGGAAACATGAAGTTGGTGATCAAAATATTGAATATTACGAAAACATGAAGTTACTGATCAAAATATTGAATATTAACGGGAACATGAAGTTATTGGTCAAAATATTGAATATCCTCGAGAACATGAAGTTACTGATCAAAATATTGAATATTAACGAAAACATGAAGTTACTCATAAAAATATTGAATATTAACGGAAATATTAAGTTGATTATCAAAATATTGAACATTAACGAGAACATACAATTTCTGATAAAATTATTGAATATTAACAAAAAAATAAAATTATTGATCAAAATATTGAATATTAATATAACAACTTTACTATTGATTTAAATATTTTTTACAATAATTCCAAAACAAAAATAATATTTATATAAAAAATATATATTATTCATTCAAATATTTTTATATATTGAAATAAAATATTTTGTCTATTCTTGTAACAATAACTATTTATATTCGTATGCAAGCAAGTTTTTTCTTGTGAAAACAAATAACATCCCTTAAACCCTTGCTCTCTCTTAACTACAACCATGGCTACCCAGATCTTGTGTCTGACTCTTCCCCAAAACCCTAGCCTTAACTGCTATCTACTCTCGCTCTGCTATCTCTTTCCTCCGCCCACTTTCTGGCGCCGTCCTCCTCCCCCCTTCCTTCCGCTCTCTCTCAACTCGCGCCACCTTCCCCTTGCTCGTCCGACCTAAACCTAGCCCTAACTGTCCTCCCTTAAGTTGCGCTATGGTTGTGATTTCTACCGCTGCATGGTTATTATGCAGGCACCCTATGATGGCTTCTTCAAAGGTGAACCCACCAAAGATGATATCATCGATAGTTATGTCAGAATACTGGCCGAGCTTGTCGGAAAGTAATTTCCATTCACTCACTTCTTCCTTTCATTTATTTTTCCAACCATGTGTTCTTCTATTTTCGCTATGTATTTTTTCTTTTTATTCAATTTTATTAGAGGGTAATTTAGTATTTTGTTATTTGTAGATAAGTTTTAATTAGGGCCTATGTGGCATCTTTATTTGTGTATAAATAGGTGTACTAGGATTACATTTATATCAATCAATTCTCCAATCATTTGCAGTCAGCCTTTATTGCATTTATTCCCTTTCATCTTCTTCCTCAAATTCATCACCTTGCACTAACAAATTGGTATCTAGAGCTCTTGGTTTGATTCTGAAACTCTGGGAAACACGAGTGATAGTGAGCTGTGTGTTTGATTTTTGATTCTTGAACAAAAATCTGAAACAGAATCACACTGATTCTGTGGTTTTGGGAAACACTGAGTGAGAATCTGAGATCTGAGTTTTTCTGTGCAAAGGTTTAAGATGAATGGAGGCAGTAGTTTGAACACTAAACTTCCAGTCTTTGATGGTAAAAACTGGAACAGATGGAAGATACAAATGCGTGTGCTGTTTGGTGCTCAGGATGTTCTGGACCTTGTCTCTGAAGGTTATCTTCCAGTTGCAGCAGATGCTACTGAAGAACAGAAATCAGAAGAAAGAGCTACAAGGAAGAGGGATCAGAAAGCACTGTTCTTCATCCATCAGTGTGTGGATGAAAATGTGTTTGAGAAGATTGTTGATTCGACGACGTCGAAAGGGGCATGGGATATTCTGACCAGATGTTATGGTGGTGACGTATCAGTAAAGAAGGTAAAGCTTCAGTCCCTGCGAAAACAATATGAAAATCTCAGCATGAAGAACAGTGAGAAAGTTTCTGATTACATCTCCAGATTGATTCTGATCACTAATGAAATGAAGGCTTGTGGAGAAACACTTTCTGAACAGGTAATCATAGAAAAGATTCTGAGGTCACTTATGCCTCAGTTTGATTACATTGTTGTTTCTATTGAACATTCTAAAAATCTGGAAACCATGAGAATATAAGAGTTGCAAAGCAGTCTAGAAGCACAAGAGTTGCGTCTGACTGAAAGAACTTCTGAGAGGGAAGTGGAGCAAGCTCTGAAAGCTTCTTTTGTCAAGAAGGACCAGAAGCAGAATAGACATGGTGATAAATTCCAGAAGTCAGAAACCTCAACTTCTGATGAAAAGAAATATCAGAAGGGAAAGGAAAGGTATGACAAGAAGAAGGTTCAATGTTACTGATGTAAACAGTTTGGGCATTTTGCCAGAGACTGTAGAAACAAAGGAAGAAAATCAGAAGAAGCAAATATAGCCAGAGAAGATTCTGATGATGAACCTGTGCTACTGATGGCTTCTGATTCTGATGGAAACTGTTCAGGAGATTGGTGGTATATGGACACTGGCTGTTCAAATCACTTGACTGGGAACAAACAATGGCTGACAGACTTTGACTCCAGAAGGAGAACAAAGATCAGATGTGCTGATGATAAGTACCTTAATGCAGAAGGTATGGGAAACGTCAGAGTCAGAGTGAAGAATGGAAGAAACATTCTGATCAAAGATGTCTGGTACGTTCCTGGAATTAAAAGCAATCTGATGAGTGTGGGTCAGCTTGTTGAGAAAGGTTTTTCAGTGGTTATGAAGGACAACCTCTTGACGTTGTACGATTCTAATCAGAAGATGATTATGAAGTCTGAGCAGGGAAGCAACAGAACATTCAAAGTGAATGTAGAAACTTCTGAAGCGGAGTGTCTCAGTGCAGAAGGCGCTGAAGCAGACAGTAAGTTGTGGCACAAGAGGTTGGGGCACTTGAACTATAGAAGCTTAGGGCATCTAAGTTCTAAGAAGCTCGTACATGGCATTTCGAAGATTGTGAAGCCTCAGAAGTCATGTGAGGTATGCATGAAAGGCAAGCAACCCAGATTGCCATTTGCGTCAGAAGTAGCCCCCAGAGCAAAACATGCTCTGGGAGTAGTACACTCTGATGTATGTGGACCATTTCCAGTAGCTTCACTTGGAGGAAACAAATATTTCGTGTCTTTTGTGGATGAGTTCACAAGAATGACATGGGTAACACTCATCAAGTTCAAGCATGAAGTGTTTACAGAGTTCCAGAAGTTCAAGGTGAAGACTGAGAAGCAGAGTGGTCAGAAGCTGAAGATTCTGAGAACAGATGGTGAAGGTGAGTATAACTCTACAGAGTTCCAGAAGTTCTGTGAGAAGAATGGAATAGAACATGAGGTTACTGCTCCATATACTCCTCAGCACAACGGTCTTGCTGAAAGAAGAAACAGAACTTTGCTTGATATGACCAGAAGTATGCTGAAAGAAAAGATGTTACCTCACATGTTATGGGGAGAAGCTGTTGCCACATCAGCATATGTTCTGAATAGGTGTCCAACGAAGAAGTTAAAAGAAATTGTTCCTTTAGAAAAATGGACTGGAGACAAGCAGAGTGTTAGCCATCTGAAAGTATTTGGTTCTGTGTGCTACAAACACATTCCAGAGGCTAGAAGACGAAAAATAGATGATAGAAGCAAAACAATGTTACTGGTAGGGTACCACAGTACTGGTGCCTACAAGCTTTATTGTCCAGAAACCAACAAAGTTGAAATCAGCAGAGACGTCGTTGTGAAAGAGTCAGAAACATGGGATTGGAACAAGCTTCAATCAGATTCTGGTGTAGTGCCAACACCAGGGTTAGTTTCTGAAGACGAGTCAGAGTCAGAAGAAGAAGACTCTGAAGATGAGTCAGAATCTCAGGGAGATTCTGATAGTGGATCTGATTCTGATCCAGATTCTGATGATGATCCAGAACCTGGTGGTGATTTTACTTCTGGAAGGGAAAACTCTGAAGATATAGGGTCTGGAGAACAAATTTCCAGAAGTAACTCTGAAGGTGGTAATTCTGAAGGAAGTAGTTCTGGACAAGGTTCAGAAGCCAGTATTGTTCCGAATTCTGGAGAACCTTCAGAACAAGACCAGAGGCCACAGAGAATCAGACGAATACCAAGTAAGTTTGCAGATTTTAGCATGTTGCATGATACTGAAGTAGATTCTGAAGGTGAAATCGTTCAGTGTGCCATGCTAGTAGATTCTGAACTAGTGGGTATTGAAGAAGCACTCAAGAAGAAAGTATGGCTGAATGCCATGAAAGAAGAACTTGAGGCAATTGAAAGAAACAAGACTTGGAAGCTGACAGAACTTCCAAAAGGCAAGAAAGCCATCAGCGTCAGATGGGTTTTCAAGCAGAAGCTAAAGCCAGATGGATCAATTGGCAAACATAAAGCGAGACTAGTGGCCAGAGGTTTTCTTCAGAAACCTGGACTAGATTATTTTGAGGTGTTTGCACCTGTAGCTAGACACGAAACAATCAGACTGGTGATTGCTTTAGCTGCAAACAGAAATTGGCCTTTGATACATCTGGATGTGAAGTCTGCATTTCTGAACGGTCCATTACAGGAAGAAATTTATGTGTCACAACCTTCTGGATTTGTGAAAAAGAATCAGGAAGGGATGGTATACAGGTTAAGTAAAGCTCTGTATGGACTGAAGCAAGCGCCCAGAGCTTGGAATCTGAAGATTGATTCGTTTTTCAAGGAACAAGGGTTTCAGAAGTGTGAGATGGAGTATGGTGTTTATGTTCAGCATACTTCAGAAGGTAATATGATTCTGGTCTGTTTGTATGTTGATGACATATTACTCACAGGAAGTTCTGAACAAGAAACAGCTGAGTTCAAGAAAGTTCTGATGAAGGCGTTTGAGATGACAGATCTTGGAAAAATGAGTTTCTTTCTAGGGATGGAACTTATATACTCTGAGAAAAGAATCATTTTGCATCAGAAGAAGTATGAACTAGAGCTTCTGAAGAGATTTGAGCTAGCAAATTGCAAGATTGCTATCACACCTGCTGATACGAATCAGAAGTTGGATTCTGATTCTGATGGAGAGGATGTGGACGCTACAACCTTCAAACAGATGGTTGGTTCTCTGAGGTATTTATGCAATACCAGACCTGATATTTGTTATGCAGTTGGAATGGTCAGCAGATACATGAGCAAACCAAAGTGGTCTCATTACCAAGCTGCTGTCAGGATTCTGAGGTATATAAAAGGAACTCTGAATTATGGAGTGTTATTTCCTTCTGGAGGAAAGATCAAATCAGAACTTCTGAGTTATTCTGATTCTGATTGGTGTGGAGACAGAGTCGACAGAAGAAGCACTTCTGGGTATTTATTCAAGTTTCTGGGAGGTCCAATTTCTTGGTGTTCCAAGAAACATCCTGTTGTGGCTCTGTCAACATGTGAAGCTGAATACATTGCTGGTGCTGTAGCCGCCTGTCAAGCAGTTTGGCTTCTGAATCTGCTGCATGATCTGAAGGTTGATGTTGAGGAACCTCTGAAGCTGATGATTGATAACAAGTCTGCAATTAATCTTGCAAAGAATCCAGTTCTACATGGCAGAAGCAAGCACATTGAGACGAAGTATCACTTTCTCAGAAGTCAAGTGCAGAAAGGAGTATTAGAAGTTCTGCACTGTAGCACTCAGAAGCAGCTGGCAGATGTTCTGACGAAGGCAATAAAAACAGACCAATTTCTGCGCTTGAGAGATGAAATTGGTGTTGTTAACTTCTGATAAATTACTAAATTACGGGATGGTATTAGAGGGTAATTTAGTATTTTGTTATTTGTAGATAAGTTTTAATTAGGGCCTATGTGGCATCTTTATTTGTGTATAAATAGGTGTACTAGGATTACATTTATATCAATCAATTCTCCAATCATTTGCAGTCAGCCTTTATTGCATTTATTCCCTTTCATCTTTCTTCCTCAAATTCATCACCTTGCACTAACAAATTTGGCCTAATAATATAATAAATGCAACATCTATGTGTTTTCTGTGTTTTGAGTGGTTTATCTATGGCAGTGTTGATGAAGCCAGGATGATGGTATATTTCTGTGGTATAATAACTAAGGATGAATATGCATTTGGCACACTTCTGTCCCAAACGCTTTCCGACAGAGTTCAAGGTACTTGTATAATCATCATGGTTATGAAATGCAAATTTTCTTATAGCTTTTCTTCTTCTTTTATACAAATAAGAATGCAAAGTTAGTCTTTTAAACAAAAAAGGGTTTCAATTTGTTTATTTATTTTTCAAATTTCAGCACTTACCGGGGTTGTTATGATATTCGATGACTTTCCCTTTGTGAGAAGTGAGAATATAGGTAATGTTTCTTATCATACTATTAATTAATTAAATATTTAGGTAAGATATGTTCAAGTGTCTGCTTGGTTGACTTTTCTGTTTAAATCTCACCAGATTATGAGATGCCAATTCCTCCAGATGAGTTAGAGAAGTTGTATAGGGATGATTTTCCGCAACAAGAGGGAGCCAAACATGGGATACCTGGGACAGATGCTGCGTGAGATTCTTATGGGCCGTGGAGATTTATTTATATTATGTTTATGGAGGAATAAGAATTTGTTGATCTCTTTTCTTGTAATTAATCTTGCATGTCTCTGCAAGTGTCTTGCTTTAATTGTTTAGTCACCTTATCTTACTATATCTATCTTACCTAGCTGTGATATAAAAACATGACATCTAATTCTGAAACAACAAATTATTTATACAAGACAAAAATTTTAATTTAGAATTTGAGTTCTATCAATAAAAATATGTATTGTACTTTTTTTTAATATATAACAGAATATGGTTACACCAAGTATATGATACACGTTTGATGAGAAATAAAAGTAGAAATTAGACCCTATAAACACTAAAATGTATTTTAACTTATACAATATCAAGCATCTGACCAAGTGATGTCAAGGCCACCCCATTGTTCTTTAGGCACACCTAAAGCTTCCCACACAGCCTTGGATGCGTCAACAATGTTGTTTGGACAAGGAGGTTGGTAATCATGATCTTTATCGCATCCCTTTGTGGAGTCACACTCATCAACAACCATGGCCACCACACTTTTTCCATTAGCACTGATAGTAATGTTTTTGAGGCACCTACTCTCGTGGTTGAACCATCCGGTGGAAAGCGCAACAACAGGAGTGTCATCAGAATGATACTGATTATCACATTCTGAAGGGCCACCTCCATCTCCACCATTTTGGAAACTATTAAGAGTAAGATATGCTTTTGTGTAAGTCGACACCGAGGGAGAACATTCATAAGTTGTGTACATTTTTCCTTGCACGCAACAATCAGAATCATTCTCTTGATTACATTGTCCCGCAGGAGCATTCTTTCCTTCAATTCTACCGCTTGGACGGCAACTCTGAGCTGTAGAGTGCAAACAACTTGTCAAAATAAGAGCAACAAACAAAAGAAAAGAAACTTTGGAACAAAATCTCTTCATTTTGTGTATGCAACTCTTTGTTTGTTGTTGGTGGTGTTTGATGATTTGGGAGGAGATTTTAGTAAGTATATATAGAGAACTCCTCTATGTTTGTAAAGTAATTTGGTTGGTTTTCTGAAAACAAATCAAAAGAAAAAGTTATATACAAGTTAGATTTAGGGTCAACAAATATATTATATATGTATGTTTCATTTTGAGGTCAAACAAAAGAAAAGAAAATGTATGTGTTTATCACTACATTACTATAGGATCAGTTTTGGGGTCAAACAACAAGCTATTCAGTTTTTGAGTACACAGTTATTCAGTTGAATGACATTTTGTCTTTATTGGCAGATTCTTGTTTGTTGTCCGTGTAATCTCACACTGCATATATTTTAATCTCTAATAAATTAAATTAGTTTGCTCATTTTTGTCTAATAGTGCTTGACAGTGCTTTTTTGCAAAACAAGCAAAATATGATTCATTCATTTTTTATTTCAATATTTTATTGTTGTTAATTAATTATTCTAATAACAATTAAAATTTCTGAAAGTATAACTTGTATTTTTGCCTTCTGTCATAAAAAAGGTGTATATGAAATTGGCAGATTATCCCTGTCCTGTGTCTTGCATGAAATTGGCAATAGCCTAAAAAAAATAAAAACTATCAAAGGCTTAGTTTCTTTGCTGTCTCCATAAGTAACCATGTACTTAAAATATTCATAAAATCAAATTAAAAAAAACTACAGACTTATATGATATTATGATATACATGCAACTTCCATTTTGAGGGATCATTTTCACAAAGTGGACTATGTGGCCATAAAATTGTTGGGTAAATGTGTTTTTTAATATAGATGTGATATAAGAAGACTCATTATAAATTCAAGCAAAGATTAATCGCATGAAAAGAGAAAAAGATTCAAAGGGAAGACTTAATCGTTTCAAAGGCCAAATAGCATGTTTAGTGTGTGCAAGTGTGTCGGATATTAGGCGTCACCTAAGGAATCCCACTTTAAGAAGCATGTCTAGTTTCTTGTCTCAATAAGAAGCATCACAACATTGATCTTTCTACCGCTGTGACTGAATACATAACCGCTAGTAGTTGTTGTACACAAGTCTTATGGCTAAAGCAACAATTTCTAGATTATGATTTAAAACTTGGCTGCATTCTGATTTAGTGTGATAGTGCTAGTGCGATAAGCCTCACTAAGAATCCAATACTCTCCTCATGAACTAACGACATTGAGATATGACATCACTTTCTTAGAGATCATTGTTGAAAAAAAGGATATTGTTTATGAATAGGTTGACACTAAAAATCAGTTTGCTGATATTCTTACAAAATCATTGTCATCAAAACCTTTTCACAAGAGCTATAGGGAATTGAGAATATTAGATTCTTCGTGCTTTAAATAGATCTGGAATTTTGTTTAGATTCATTTTCTATATGAAATTATGTTCCTGGGGGCACTACAACAAATAACGCTTTTCATGACGAAGCTTTCACAACGTAAAAAACAAAATCGCGGGTACATGTGAAGGGAGTGCATTGTTTTATTTTTTAAAAATTATTGATAAATATGTTACCTCGGATATTTAAAAAATCGACGTAAATATATGCTCAAGGTTTAAGGTTCGATTCCCAAATCCTGTTATTTAATGTTTTATATGGAATCAAAAATGCGCATTTATTTTTTAAAGATTTTACATCGGATATGTTACCTTGGTTTTCAGTCAATCCGAGATAAAAACTCCCTTTTTTTTTGCATACAAAAAGGCGCATTTATTTTGTATAGATTTTACGTTGGATATGTTACCTCAATTTTAAGTAAAACCGAGATAAATACTATTTATAATTTTTATCTCCTCAGTGTCTCTTTCATTTTCTTTTCGAGCACTAGCGAAAGAACACTTATTCTCCAACCAATGAAAGAACACTTCTTCTCCAAAGAGCCATAACAAACGAAAAAACTCTCTCACCATTGTTCTCTAGTATGTTATTACTGTTGTTCTCCATTACTATTGTTCTTGTTGCTGCGAATCATTATTGTGGATTGTTTCATTTTGGTTTTATTCATATAACTATAGAGTGTACATCAAACTAAGAGTTAAACTGAATAAAACTTAAGCTAATTAAAACATTTATTATATAATCCTTATAAAAAAGCGAATAATCATATATAAATCCTCTGGCTGAGAGATAGTTTGACCAAGAATAAACTGCTTCATCCTCATCGTCACAATCGATGATGACTGGCCTTTTCATCTTTCTTCTTCTTCTTGAACTCCTCTTCTTGTGAGCTCTCATGAGTCTCACCTTTCTTCTTCCGCAATTATAAACTGTTAGATGTATGCTAATAGGATTGTATGGCAAGAATATTTGAAAATTTAAATGGTAGAAAACTCTAAATGTGCAAAGACAAATTAACTGAAAAAGTTCACTCGCACATGTTCACTCCTAGGGTTTACTCCACTTCGGTTGCCTTCGGTTAAACGGTCATGAAGTATAGGGTCTGTTAGTGGTCGTCCTCTAGCCCTGAAAGATCTCAAATGACCCATTTGGATGTTGCCTCGGAAAAAGATCTTTAAGGCTTTAGGATGATTACTAACACCTCCTAATATTGCTTTTGTGACCATATCTGTCCCTTCGAACGTCCCTTAAAACTCCAACGACGGTACTACCTATTCCTTAATAATGGGATAGCGCTGTCAAAAGGAAAATGAACAAACTTTTTTCGAGTAGGTAGAAAACTCTTAAGTACTTGCTCAAACAAATAAACTTTTCACATAAACACTTTTTTTCAAAACAACTTCGTCACATCCTTGAGGATTGATACAAGGGTTATCACGAAGTAAACTTTTTTCAAAACAAACACACATACAAGAAATTTTAAAATGAGCAAGTACCTAAGAGCCCATGGAAAACCATGGATAGAAAGGGTGCTAACACCTTCCCTTTCTATAATCTATCCCCCGTACTCAGAAATATTCTCGAAAAAGGTTTTTTTTGTTCTTTTTCCTTTTCCTTAGTTGGATGAAATAAAAGTCGGTGGCGACTCTTGCTTTCCACGAAATTTTGCGAACAAAAAACGCAAAATGCAAACCAGTATTAACAGTCGGTTCTGCCACCGTATCACAGGCAGTCTAGGCAAAAATTAGAGACATAAACAGAATAAATTCTTCCCGGTAGGTTGAAAACCCGCAAGGGCAACCTAGGCAAAAGTGAGGGATTTCTTGGCAAGTAACAGCGTCAGACAAGACTTGGTCGTTGAAGCAATAATCTTCTCAGATTCTCATCACACTTCAACTGAAGTCTTTACTCACAAGTTCGAAGTTGTTAGGAAGAACAGTGGTCATTGTATTCAAATGTATATTTCCCATATATTTACCATTTTCCAAACTTTGTAATCATCTATGGAGTCTCGTCGTTCGCAGACTAGCATTCCATTAATAAAGTTTGAGCCTTTATCCAATTTTTTGTAGTTCTTACTTTTATTCTGTTCGCAAAAATTTCATTTATTATCGATAGAAATTTTCAAAACAAAAATACTTAATAATAAAAAATGTTTTGAAAAGAATTTACAAATTACCTTTTACTTCAGATGTTATGATTCGAGTGGAACAAAAGTAGTGATTCTGAGGATGTACGAGCTCCTAAGTTTTGAAAAGTTCCCTGGTTGCTCATATTGATATGTGTGTATTCCATTTAGGATACTGTTTCTTGGGATAGATAAATCTCGTACAAGCTGTACGTGGTGTGGCGTTTGGGCCTGTGTTTCCATCTTTCCCCAGTTAAGTGTTGGTTCAGTTTGTCTTCAAGCAGCTATTTGATGGTGGATTTGTAATCCCATCCTCCCCAGTCAGGTCCTAATTTAGATTCCTCCGACTGAGAAATATTACGCCCTCTAGTTATGATATTGTTGTTGTACTGTGCCTCTAAGCAACCAGACAAAGGCAATATACATTCTAAGAAGTTTTTAGATAAGCGTCTACTCCTTGGATTTTCTCTCGCTACACACTGAGTTTGATTTAAAATCCCCATGAACCGACCTATTACTGTGATGATATTTTCTTA